ATCTGACAATTCCTATTAAGGATGAAACTGGTAACGTGGTGCCTCCTGGTGGTCAACGTAACTGAAAATACCACACAGGATATATATTATGTAAAAATAGATAAATTTACTCTCTTCTAAGTGCAGTGTATGGAAGTCATGTAAAACCCCATATATGGGACAAGACAAAATGTAACATCTGTATTTCTCTGCTCTGAAAGTTTAAGAAAGGTAGACTTTGTATACCATTCTGACAGATTCTATATGTTTCTTCTTGCAACACTGCTGACCACCAGGACCTGGATAGCTTCCAAAACAAAAGCATCCTATATAGTCATCTAGAGCGCGATGGCCCATGGGTTCAATTCCCAGTAGAGGATTTGAACACGACAGAATACCATCTAACTACCTGCCTTTGATGATGCCTGATACCAAAGAAACTGGTAATGTAGTGCCTCCAGGTGGTCAGTGTGACCTATTTAGCAAAGAAGATCCATTTGAATGCTTAAGTAGGCATTTCTCTGATGTTCAAAAATACATACAAGATTTCTGTACTTCAAGTCATCCTTACATGGCAAAGTTGTCTTGTTTTATTTCAGGTTCATAAATGCAAACCTGTCATCTGCTCACATAGTATATTTTAGATTAACATGTGAATGGATCATAAGGAAATTGAAAAGTTTTATCTAATCTGATGAAGTTCAAATCTGCAGTTGCAGGTAAATTTCCCTAATATTACAGCAGTGATAACGTGAGGGTCATACTTTCTGAATTAGCTCTTGACCTCTTTTTGACTAGATGAAAGCCAATGTAAAAGCCTCATGTGCCAGGTCAGTTCCCACTCCTAGACTTTATTCCAACATTTATTGACAGGTTTCATACATTGCTTTGAGAGCCAGTTTGGTGTAGTGGATAAAGGCACCAAACCAGGAGACCGTGAATTCTAGTCCCGCTTAGGCATGAAGCCAGCTGGGTGACCTTGGGCCAGTCATTCTTTTTAGGCCTTGGAAGAAGGCAATGGCAAAACACTTTCAAAAATCGTGCCAAGAAACTGCAGGGACTAGCCCAGGCAGTTGCCAGGTGTCAACACTGACAACAACAACATTGCTTTAAGTTATGATTTGCTGATAACCCACAGTTGATTGTACTTACACATTGCTCAGAGCTATTGATTATGATTTGCAGCCAACATTGGTTGGTACATATAGCCCATTCAACCAAAGGCACTTTAATTACATTATGGCTTACATACCTATTCACTTTGATCTACAGTCCAACTATACTTGTGGGCAACGAGTAATGCCTACTAATGGCCCTCAATGCAACTGTCCATTTATGTCACCAAATGCATCTAGTCAATTTGTTGGATTTAGATGAGCTCTACCCTTTCATTTAGTTCGTATCTTAGATTTATCCCACTGTTCAGTACTAAGTATCCAAAGCAGCTTATAAAAAGAGAAAATATTTTGCAAGTATTGACTAGGATTAAAACCAAAGGAGTCTAGTAAGCTGCAAAAGAGCGGGCGGGGGGGGGGGGGATTAAAAAGCAGACCAGTCTAAGAGGTCAGTGGCAGAAGCTTAAAAGCCAACAATAGCAAATTAAAAGCAGCACAAAACTCTAAAAGCTGACCTGTGGCTGAACAATGTGAACACACATTAACAATACCCATCAGTACGTAGTACCAGTGAGTGCTAGAGGTGAAAACACTGGTGGCTTGTTTAAATGAGCCAGTTTAATAATGCCGCTTTCATGTGTAGAAACCTTCCCTCCATTCTCTGCAACGGAACATTTCTAAATTTCCTTCCAGCAAGATTTCACTGATGGACTGGAACATTTTTCTACACAGTGCACATTCTCTCTGGGTGTCTGGATAGTGCTTATCTTTATTTGTTGTCTCTACGTGTCTTAAAGTTTTACATATAAAAAGAAAGAGAAAGGAAACATTCAGCCTTATGTTCGATGATGAAGCCCGCTCAGCTGACAGGGTTAGCCAAGGCCAGATATGAAGCACTGCAGAATTATCTGGGAAGCAGGGCTGGCCCTAATACTAGGCACCTGGTATACATCTCATAAAACCAGCCTGAGTTTACACATGCTTGTATGAATGGATCCTCTGACCTGAAGATGAAGATTATTAGCAGGAGAAGCTATTTCTGTCTGGCTCTGTTACTTGTACATATTTTTGCATGAGTTTCTACCCTTACCCCCCAACCCCCACCCTCCAGCATTCACGTAGTTGAATGTGTGGAGAAAGGGCCAGACTTCTTACTAAGCAACTCCATGTGATAAATGAGACATTCTTTTCTCAGTATGACCTTTTAGTGTATGTGCTTTTGCTGCTCAGGAATGTTAAGATGTGAAGGACCCAATTGATGGAAATGCCAGGCTAAGGTTGGTGATGGCAGCAAGAGGGAGCAGTGTGCCAAAGTTTCAGATCATGAGTTTTTTCCAGCCCTACCTGGAGACTCCAGGCCACAGACTGACCTGAACTTTCAGACAGCAAAGCAAGTGATTGTTCTTCTGTATGATCCTTCCAGATAGAAATCTGCTTAGATCCTTTAAATTAAAGGTGTCCATGCCCCAAAGTGAGTTTGAATTCACAAGTTAATCACAATTAATAATAAGAAACACATACACTAAGGTCATATAATACTATAACATCCATATACTGAATGGCTGAAGACAAATACTGTTTGAAAC